CGATGTAAATGGGTGTCTTATAATTCTATGAGATTATTATGGCTGAATTTACTATTAAGCTGCCACTCTTTGAGCTATTTCCCCCGAGGTTGGCGTTTTCTCTCTGTATTTACCCAGTTTGTGTTGAATGAGCAAACATTGAGATTGTTGGCTTCCTGCCAAGGTTTGGCAAACAATTGTTCCCCTGTTTGTGGGCTTATTTATTTATTTCTGGTTGTTCTCTGCAAGAATCTGTCATATCAAGTCCCTGGAAGGGTTGTGCTTGCACGCTACATGTTGAGGCAACTCCGTTAATTCGCTGCTGATGCTACTGCAAACGTTCGCACATGGATTGCAAAAATCTTGATTATGCCCATGTGTTGTTGTGTGTGTGTGTGTGTGTGTGCTTAATGACAATATCCTGGTACAGTTTTCCTTTATAATAATAGTTTCCTTTAGCACACAACATTTTGTAGACAGATTCCTGAGCTTTCTAAGTGCACTTGGTACTGTGACTGAGGCCACCTGTCCCAGTGGATTCCAGGGATAAAAACTTCGGAGGCCCCTCACGACTGAGTCACTAAGAGTGTGTGTGTGCGCAGCAGAGGACTGCTTTCCAGAAATACAATGTTTGGGTTGAAGTGCCTGACAGAGGAACACGAAGAACCAGAACAAATGGGGTTTTAAAACGAGGTCTTTAAATGGAAAATGCCTCTTGAAATGCCACCCATTTCTCACAATCAGCTCTGTCTTTTCTTTTCCCAGGAGCTACAACTAGGGTTGCAAAGCAGCAGAGCAACACAGAGAGGTTTTGTCCCCACGCAGCAGCCCTCCTGAACAGGGTGCTCCAAGCAACGCCGGGGAGGGTCTTAGCAGCTGAATGAAGCTGCTTAAAATGTCTTGCAGACCTGGAGTTTAGTTAGCTAATGAGAGACATTCCTCTGGGTGGCAGCTGCTCCCTAGGAGGTTTTCTTGCCCATCTGGAAGCCTTACAAGCTCTTTCAGCCCATTAGGACTCTGTGTAGTTATTTAATACCCTTGTGGGAATTACTTTCTCTGTCATCTTAAATCCGAGATCAGCAAACATTTTTCGTAAAAGGCTAGATAATAAATATTTTTGGCTCTGTGGGCCATATGGTCTATGTCTCAGCTTCTCAGCTCTGCTCCTGTAGCACAAGAGCAGCCATAGATAAAGTGTAAACAGACAAATGTCTGTGTTCCAATAAAACTTTATTTGTGGACACTGACATTTGAATTTCATATCATTTTCATGAATCACTGATAATGTTCTCCCTTTTTCTTTTCCCCCCCCAACCATTAAAAAAATATGAAATCCATTCTTAACTCATGTGACAGACAGAAACAGACAGTGAGTGGAGTTTGCCAGGGGGTTAGGGGGCGGGGGGGGGGGGGGAAAGCATAGTTTTCCAATCCTTGCTTTAAGCCAAGAATTGACGATGAAGAATAGCAACGTAGCCATCAGCTTCCCTCGATTATCTAAATGTTAGTGAGCATTGAAAATGTCAGCTGTTACTATAATAATTAGTCAGTTGAGTTAAGTTTGGGAATAAAGGTCAGCTTATAATATTTCTATTCATATGAAGAATGCTAATAAACTCAGTGAATTGGGCTCAGAACTTATTTCTTTGTGTGATTCCCCATTTCCTAGAAAAGATCAGGGTCTGAAGTGAAATTGAAAGGCTCCAATGTGACGGTTAAAACCCTTCATTGGTGTGGCACCGACCCTGCCTGGATACACCAATGCCTGCAGGGAAACCTCTCTGCTCTGGCTTATTAGCCATCCCCAAAGGGCAACTCTCTCAGACCAGAGAGAAGAGGGGGAAGGGGGGAAGTGACTCCAGAGCTTGGATGATGGCAAGAAAGGTTTTGTTTGTTTTTTTTTCTTCTTCTTCACCCTGACTTACTAATTCACAAAGATCCCTTCTCCACCAAGTAGAGGGACAGGAACTGGTGACACTCCTAGTTGTAATTTGATGCATCAAGGTGCTCCTAGACTGAGAATACCTTGATAAAATGAAGTTAGTGTCTCTTCTATACTTGATTGCCTAATTGATTTTATTTTACTTTTTTAAAAATACATTTTTTTTTATTTATTTCACAGAGGAAGGGAGAGGGAGAGAGAAAGAGAAACATCAATGATGGGAGAGAATCACTGATGGGCTGCCCACTGATGGGAATCCAGCCTGAAACCCAGGCATGTGCCCTGATGGGAAATAGAGCAGTAACCTCCTGGTTCATAGGTTGATGCTCAACCACTGAGCCACACCGGCCAGGCAATAGACTTTATTTTAATTCTCCCCCATCATTTTCCTCCTCACTTTTTATTCTTCCTTCCACACTCCCCCTTTCCTTTCTGTCTTTTGAAGTAATACTTTAATGTTCACATGTGTTCTATACTCTTCCTATTTCAAGTGTGAGCCTGTACTAACAGTGATGGCAGCTTCTTAGAAATGTAGTATTTTCACACACCCCCAAGCCATTCAAAATCTATATTTTAACAAGATCCACAGGGTGGGCACATTAGAGATTGAGAGGCACCTCTCTTTATAATATCTTTATCATTCCAGAGAAAAATGCTCAAAACAAACCTCAGGCTTAAATAAACATCCTGGAGGGAAGCAGAGAATTAACCCTCTCACGAAGGTTCAGAATTGCAAAGAAAAAGCAAGGATTGGAGTCAAACTTTAAAATGAGCAAGTAGTGGTTCTGCTTTGGGAGAATTTAAGCACTTTTTCCCCTAGCAGTGTTCAGGGTGGACAGGTTATCCAGGACCAGGGCACCGAGCCTTGGTATAGGGCCCAGCTCTCAAGTGGAAGGAGATGTGGGTGTGATACACACTTGTCCCCTGTGGAGGGCTGGGGTCATCAATGCCCCTTCCCTGCAGAGAAAGAACTGCATAGGAGAAGGTGAACAGAGCAGTCATTCCTTGGCATTCGGAATTAAGCTGGTAGATGCTTAATTAGCAGCTTGGGGAAGGCAGGGAAGAAGCCCTGGTTTTCTCAGTGCATTTACCAGTATTCCCACCTTGGTTGATTTCAAACTGCCAATGTGATGTTGCTGAACGAGGACTGGGGAAGAGGCATGCAACAGCCCACCATTATATGACAGCTGCACTATACAGGTACAACAGACATAAATAAACTCAGAAACATAATAGTAGTGAACTGCAATAAGATGATTAGCAACTAATGAGTTGTACTGGTTACCTTTGCTTTTACTAGAACTAATTTAATTGTAAGTTTATATAACCTAAATTTTAATGATGGTTGTGTTGAATGACCAGGTCCAAATATTCCGGACAATCAGCTTTCATGAGACAGCATGAGCAAGCTCTAGCGCATCAACAGGAAAAGGCATTTTCACAACTTCAGACTGTAGGCATACAGATGCCTTAAAAGACACCTGTACAGTATATTTGGATACCACCCCTTTTATTCACATGGATGTCCCAGCAAACCTCTGTTCGCAGATTGCCTTACCAGAAAGGGGAAAACGTTGTCTGCCGTATTTCACACTTACAGTTCACCCTATATACTTTCATTAAACTTTCTCAAGAACATTTTACAGGTGTTCCCTGTGCTGGATTATTCTGGTTGACAATTTTCCAGATTCCAGTTGGAACATTTCATGTGACTTATGCCATGAGTTTTGTTTTGATTTTCAGAGATGTTCCCCAAATACTATTTAGCCCTGTTTCCACTCTTGATTCACAATTTTGTAATGCTTGTTGCTCAATAAGTATAATGCTTTGATTTGGATTTTATCTTTTCTTGTCTTCAATTTTAGTAAAGAAAAGTTGACAGACAACATCATCCAAGCAATAAGGAATGAGTTTAAATACTATAAAGTAAACAATAAGCATCTTATAACAGAGTTGACCATCAATTTCCTTGGAAGGCTCCAACAGTATTATAGTTCCAAGAATCCTTGCTGGTATTTTCCTAGGTGGATGCCTAGAGGATCTGAGTCAGGCCACCAGGTTCCTCGTCACAGATCCCTCATTAACTAGTTCCCCCTTCCACCCTTCCACCCCTTACACACACACACACATACACACACACACACACACACACACACACAAATCTAAGTCACTCAGTCTTGCTGAGCCTAAGTTTGCAGCTTGTCAAATAAACGTTTGGTCCGTGATCTGTAAAATCCCTTTTAGCTCCTTTTTTTTGTTTTAATTTTTAAAAATAGAATAAAAAGAAAAAAAATCCACAAAGGAACAACTTGATGCTGATTTGAGCGGTGTGCCTGGTCTGCCTTTTTTATGCATTACATCCTTTTAATTTAATTCTCTGAGAGAAATAGGCATATCCGTGCTATTTCCTAACAGCTCATTAAGTACCTTTTCCATAAAAATGACTCGCATGACCCATTTCCCGGCTGCTGAGCTGTTTATGATCCTAAATATCTGGATCTCTGTTAGCGTGACGGGCCTCTCCGGTGGCCGCCCTATGACACTGCAGTCTGGAGCTCTCCAGGAAGCCTTCTCTGCCGGGTCCCAGAGCTGCTTCCACCAATCGGACTCGCACAATCCTCTCTCTGCAGTCCCCGCAGAGTCTGAAGCTCAGAGCCAACAACTCGAGGGCGTGGTCTAAGAGAGAGAAAACAAAGTCCACGCAGGATGCTTATGATTATGATACTTTAAACACTAACTCGGCCAGCAGCTGGCCCTTGCCTCGGTTCGCTTTGGAGAGGGCCGCAGTTTGCATCCCAGGTGTGATTCAGACGCCTCCTGTCTTCCAGTCTTCAGTTACAGAAATCCCCTCGCCGCCCCGTCCCCAGGTTCCCATGATTCGGTTTATTGTGGCAACAGTTCCCGGCAACTGCTCAGGTGCCCAGCGCCTCCTGCCGAGCCTTCAGGTGCTGGAGGTGGAAGAGGCGGAGGCGCTGGGAGCAGGGACCGAGGTGTAGGGCGCGGGTTGCTGGGGCGCGGGAACACGGCCCGGAGCGCGGGGGCGCACGGAGGGCCCCGCCGGAGGAGCGCGGCGCGCAGCATGGGCTGTGGACCTTCCCAGCCGGCTGAGGAGCAGAGATTTGTCCCGGCGCCGAGGAGGGGCTGGAAAGAGGGATTCAAGGTAAAACAGGAAGAAGAAAAAAAAAACCTGTATAAAGCCTTTGCCTCGCCTGTGGGGAGCTGAGGTGGGCTGGAACAGGCCTGCTGGGGCTTACAGGGAATGCGCGGTAGGGTGGGCGGGTTGGGACCAACTGTATTCGGCCAGTGTTTAACTGCGGTCTGAATAGGGATTCTTGCTGCTTTAGGACCAGCTTTGAGAGAGTTTTGTGTTTCAAGAGCTAGCAAAGGCGATCACATCTCCGGGCAGAGACAGGAAAAGGAATGTGTGGCGCGTTGTGCACAGAGCTGGAGTTGGAGGTGATGCTCAGGCACAGGTGAGAATGCCTGGAGCTGCGTGGTTTGGTAGCTTCCGGAAAGTGGGCCCTTTGGGAATTACTTAGCGCTGGAAGAGATCTCGCTTGCCTCTGAGGACCCTGAGGCCCAGGCGGTGGACAACTTGCCCAAGGCTGCACCGCTTGTCTGGGGCAGAGCTGGAGACAGAATCTAGTATTCTAAAGTCTCATTCCAAAACTCTTTCCTCTCTCCCTCGAGGTTGAATCCCTCTTAATTCTTCTGGAGTCAGGCAGGGAAATTTTTCCAGAGTGCGGAATGGAGAGATGGGATGGTCCAGACAGAAATGAGGTCCATGACTTCCTCCCATCCTCACCACCATTAAGTTTCCACAAACTAAAAACTCACCAAGGTTCCTTAGAGAGGGGTTATCCAAAGATACTGTTACCATATAATTTATCATCAAAAGCAGGATACTTTTACCAGTGAAAGGGAACACTAATAATAAATTTACCCAGTCTGATCTAAGCCCCTACTGTCACCTTTCCTAAAGAGCACACACTTCCTATCCACAGGCACTGTGTCAGACACTATTCAGTGTGAGTTACAGCACCCAGTCTGTGTGAGGCACACCTACTGGACTGTTGGAGTGAAATACAAACAGGGTCTAGTGAAGGCTGAGACTCAGGCATTTGCCTGTAGCCCAGGAGGAGAAGAAAACATCTACTTCCCACCCCATCTGTCACGGGCTGCCTTTAGGGCCCAATTACCCTTCCTGGGTCTTTCTGCCTCTCCTGTCACCACCCTAGCGGGTCTACTCCCGCACGGAACTGCCTCCTATCTCCCTAAGAAAAAGTTTTCTGAGTGTGCAAAACCACTGGCATTTGGTCCCACCAATCTCTCTAATGTCATCCTCTCCCCTCCAGTCCTTCTCACTCATGGACTCCCCCCATCCCCCCTCCAAGGTTGATTCAAGCCAAGAACGTGCAGAGCTCCTTCTTCCAGCCTCATCACCATGCATGTCTTTCCCTACTCCATTCCTCCTCCCTGGAGTGCCCTTCCTTAGCCCCATTCCTGGCTACCCGATGAATTCTACTTATGCTCCAGGACTGAGCCCAAACAAATGTTTGTTTAGGCTTCTTCTCTCTCTTAGATCCATGGGCTTCCTGAGAACAATTTGCTCATCTTTATTGTTACTCAGTATTGCTTTGGACTGTATTCATACGTAAAGGAATACTTGTTTCTCTTTTCTCAAAATATACATTCAAGTAATTTAAAGTCAAAATATACATTCAAGTAATTTAAAGTATTAATCCTTTCTTTTGTACAAAATTCTATTTAATCGGTAATTTTTCTGGCATGATTACATATAAGACTTCAATATAAGAAATATTCAGTATTTATGTTTCTTTTCTGGTCATTGTCATTTGTTCCATTATATGGTTTTTATTTATTTATTTATTTATTTATTTATTTATTTATTTATTTAAAGTAGAATTTCCATATATATATATATATATTTTTTTTTTTTTCTTTACAGATTTTTTTACAGAGAGGAAGGGACAGAGATAGAGAGTTAGAAACATCAACGAGAGAGTCATTGATCAGCTGCCTCTTGCACACCCCTACTGGGGATATGCCCGGCAACCAAGGTACATGCCCTTGACCGGAATAGAACCCTGGACCTTTCCGACCCCAAGCTGACGCTCTATCCATTGAGCCAAACCAGTTTCGGCTATATGGTTTTTAATTGAACATATTTTTTGTATAGAGCTGGAGGGCACACTAAAAAGCAAGTTTGCAAGTTCTCTGTGTGTCAAATACACTAGTCCTCCTTGGCCAAGTCTTCTTAAGATCTGGTAGGGTTTCTGGGTTTATTCTAGAATTTCTTGGCTGAGGTAGTCATTGCCTCTTGTTTGGATCTTTGAACAATCTCCAAATTTGTCTATCTAGATTCTTCTTCCACTAACTACCTCCACCTGCCCTCCATCTTCAGTCTTCTACATGACCTTGAGAATGATCGTACCAAAATAAAATCAGATATCATCCTCTGCTGAAAAAAAACATTGCCAGCCCATTAGGTAGGCACACAAACCAGGGATCAAGAATGTGACTACGTAGGGTGGACTTCTGGATGCACTACTTGTTGTGTGACTTTGGTCAAGTATTTAACCTCCCTTGCGTCAGTTTCCTTATCTGTAATAAGAGAATAACTAATAATAATGATTTTATAGAGTTATTGTGAAGATTAAATTAATTCAATTCATGTAAAGTTCTGATACCAATGCCTGGCACAGAAAAAGTGCTTAATATTAGTTATTACAATTATTATTATTATTATTATTATTATTATTACACTAGAGGCCCGGTACATGAAAATTCATGCACTGGAGAGGGAGTCCCTCAGCCCTGTCTGTCCCCTCTCATAGTCAGGAAGCTCTCAGGGACGGGAGGTGACCTGGCCATCAGGGGAAGGTGATGTTCTATCACACCTCTGCTGCTGTCACTGCTGGAAGCGTAAGCCTCAGCCGTCTGGTTACCTGCACCTCAGGCCAGCCCTGGGTGACTGGACAGCCGCCATCTGAGGCTTGCCTGCACCTTGGGCCTGCCCTGGCTGGCTGGGGGGCTGAGGGGACTGGGGGACTCCGGAGGCAGGTGCATGGAGTGGCAGGGCCCACCTGGGGACGGGCCCAGCCTTGCTATGCACCTGCCACCCCAGTGGGGCTGAGGGGACTGGGTGCCACCATCTTTGAGGGTGTGACAGTCAATTAGCATATCCCCTCTTTATTATATAGGGTTTACTTATGTAAGATCAAATCCTGAATCCTCAGCATGCCTTCCTAGCCATCCTCAAGCTGTGTCAAATTCTCCACATTCATTCTAATCACACCTTACTTACCACTCATTGTTCCCAAATTTATTCTGTTTCAGTCTCTAGGCCTTTGCCACTATTTTCTCTCCTTTCAGACTTTTCCTTCTCCCTTTTCTTGGCCCCCATGCAAATATGTACCCATCTTTCAAGTTGACTCAGGAACATTCTTCTTCATTTCCCTGTTTCCATGCTGACAGAGTTGACCTTATACCTCCTCTTATCATGTGTCAAAACATCTTTATTGTATGTGTTTCCATGTTTGCTTCCCACACTGAGCTATCACCTGCTTGAGGCCAGGAAATTTGTTTTATCTTTGTATCTCCATGCTCACTACCAGTGCCTGATGCAGACCAGGCACTGATGAGTGTTTCTTGAGTGACTGCAAGGAGGAAATACAATATTAAAATAACCTGAAAATAGACCCAGAATCAACTCACATATATACCTCTCTTTCCCCATCCGGAGCACTTGACTTTGGATATAGAATCTGGGAAAGATATGATAATTAAATAAACATTAGCTATCAGAACCATACTGTTTCTTCATAAATTCATAGGGCTGAGAGTTCACTAGTTTGGCAATGTCTTTAAAATTAGATGAATATGTTTGCTTACATGAAATATATATATGTTTCTTTGTGGCATGACTTTAAAATTTTCTGAATCAAACTTCTCGAGACCTGCAGACGACCTTAGTCTAAGTGGTGAGAAGTCGCTGCACTAAAATAATGCATAATAAGAAACGATGGGAAACTTCTCATTGGGGAAATCTTCTATATTTGACAAGAAAATTCTTATTTATTATCAGTTAGAGGGAGATGTGCCAGCAACCAAGGTACATGCCCTTGACCGGAATCGAACCTGGCACCTTTCAGTCCGCAGGCCGACACTCTATCCACTGAGCCAAACCGGTTTCAGCAATTGTCAGTTAGAAGGACTTAATAGTTTAATACTTCTTAAAGTACAATTTTTACAAGGGCATGTTTCTCACTGTTTTTTGAGAGTTTCTATTTGTTATTTCATTCATTAGAATTAAAGTAGAAAAAATAAATGTTTGAAGAACAAACTCTGTATTTATGTGGACAAATATATTTATAAAATGTATCTGCCAATAATTTGGTTTTAGAAAGTTTAAGCTCCAAGGAACCTTGATAAATGACTCCTTCCAAGCTGTTTGAAAAAGTTGTTTCCCAAAAGCTTTAGAACACATGTAGTACTTGCAGACCAAACAAAACAAAATCCTGCCTATAGTTAAAATCAATGCTTTTTTTTTTTTTTTTGGATGATTCGTATGTATAGCTGTTTGCTTGGAATTACCAGCTTTTCAGTTTTGTCGAAAATTAATCAATACAGGAAGAGGATCCAAGATGGCTGCTCGGGTAGACATCTAGCCGCGGCAGCACACAACAATTTCAATGGAATACAACTAAAATGTAGAGTGGACATTGCCCAGAGCTACAGGTAGTCGACTGACTGAAATTTCTACAACAAGAAGGAAAGAGAAAACCAGAAGGAAAATCAGAGGAGCTGAAAAAAAGCCTAAAGTACGGAGACATGCTGCGCGCGTCTGCCCGCACGCTTGGAGAGGTCGCAGCCGGAGAGGAGGAGAGGGCGGAGAGCTGCCTTTCCTTCCCTAGCAGGAAGGAAATAAAACCCCCAGCCTGGGCTGAACCCCCGAACCGGCAGCGCTGAACCCCCCCCCCCCCCCCCCGAACCCGGCAGCGCTGAGCCCCAGTTATGGGCCAGACCCTGGGGACCCAGGCTCCGGCGGGAGGAGACAGGGCCGTGAGGCGGAAAAACGGCGAAAAGCAGGGCCCCAGGAGTCGCGCGCAATGCGCACAGAGGACTGAATGTTGACTC